GAAGTTAGACTTCTGGTATATACCCTGTTGTACTGCGGTAATGAGGGCCTACGCTGTTGAAATGGGTCCACACAAGTCTATGCAGGGGGAAAGGCACTCAAAGTCCGTGGATCCCTTATGCCTGTGTCTAGGCAAAGGAGCTGTGCTTACCCTGAGTTCCTGGCTTAGGGGAGCTGGCAGTTTATTTTTTTCCCGTTTGTTAATTTGTTCACTCTCCAAGGCCAGGAGAATGGCTCATGGTGTGTGATGGATCCTACTTCCGGCCCAGGGGTCTCGGCAATTGCTGAAGCCAGTCTGGGACCCGATGTAGAGTAGGGAGTGAGGAGGTAAATGGGAGAGAGGTTTTTCCCTGAGAAGGGTGTTTTTTATCCACGCAGTAGGCCAGATGCAAATACTTATCTTTCGGCGATCGAGGGCTGCTTCTCACTGGTTCTCCGTGGCCAAGTAGACGCTCAGCGGCTGAGTCTCTCCCTGTGACGAATACACCTCCTGAGCAGCGATGCTTGCCTGCCTCACTGCTCACCCCAAAACTGATCAGGCCTGAAGAGCTCAGGCTCTTGCTGGGTCAGGTCTGGCACCTCCTCACTGCTTCCGAACCGTTTTTCCCTCCCCCTGCCACTCTGTCAGGTTCCTCAACTTTGCCTTTCATGTTCAAGGCTCCCAGGCTGTCATATATAATCGAATCACTTGGTTTTTCATGTCTTTGTTTTAAGAGCATCCACCGGAAGTTTCTGACTACTCCGCCTTCTTGGCCCCACCCCTGCCCATTTTTTAATTGACTTATTTTTTTATATTGAGTTGTAAGAATTCTTTATATATTCTGGATAAAAGTCCTTTTTTAGATGTATGGTTTACAAATAGTTCTTCCATTCTGTGGGTTGTCTTTTCACTTTCTTGATGGTGTCCTTTGGAGCTCAAAAGTTGGTAATTTTTATGAAGTCCAGTTTATCTGTGTCTTTTGTTGCTCATGCTTTTGGTGTCATATCTAAGAATCCTTTGCAAAACCCAAAGTCATGAAGATTTATCCCCATGTTTTCTTCTAAGAGTTTTATCATTTTAGCTCTTATGTTTAGGTCTTTGATTTACTTTCAGTTAATTTTTGTATATGGTGTGAGGTAGGGGTTCAACTGCATCCTTTTTCATGTGGATATCTAGTTGTCTCAGCACCATTTCTTAAAAAGGCTATTCTTTCCTCATTGAATGGTTTTGGCACCCTTGCCAAAAATAAATTTTCCATAAATGTGTGTGGATTTATTTCTGGATTCTCAATTTTATTTTATTTTATTGATCTATATGTCTTTCCTTATGGCAGTACCACATTGTCTTAATGGCTATAGCTTTGTAGTAGGTTTTGACATTGGGAAGTGTGAGTCCTCTAACTTTGTTTTTTTTTTTTCAAGATTCTGTTAGCTATTCTGGTTCCTTGAATTTCCATAGGAATTTTAGGATCAACTTGTCAATTTCTGCAAAGAAGCCAGCTGGAATTTTGATGGGGATTGCTTTGAATCTGTAGATCAATATGGGGAGTATTGCCATCTAAACAATATTAAGTTTTCCAATCCATGAACGTGGAATGTCTTTCCATTTATAAGATAGTGTATTTTTTTAAAATAAATTGCCTTATTATACATTTATTAAGACTGTTTTATGTGTTAGATTTTAATTGTAACAGTAATATTACCTGTTGCCGTCCAGTCAATTCTGACTCATAGCAACCCTATAGGACAGGGGGGAACTGTCCCACAGGGTTTCCAAGGAGCAGCTGGTGGATACGAACTGCTGACCTTTGGGTTAGTGCCATAGCTTTTAACTACTGCGCCACCAGGGCTCCAACAGTAGTATAGGCTTTTTGTAATAAGGTCAAATATTAGAGGTGAATAAGGAAAGTGTTTGTTTTCCACCTCTACCAAATTCTGTTTGCTCACTCATTCACTTATTCAATTAATTCATTCAGCAGATATTTATTATACACTTCCTATGTGCCACGTGCTGTCCTAGGCAATAAGAACACAAGTGAACAAGACAAAGTTCTTGATTTCATCGAACTCACATTCTTGGGGTGAGAGTGACCAGGAGACAGAAACCAAATAAGTAGATGTCTAACAGTATGTTGAGTGGTAATAAGTACTACTGAGAAAATTAAATCAGGAAGCAGTGAAGGTGAGATTGGTTTTAAATAGGGTGGTCAGGCAAGGTGCCTCTGAAGGAAGGGAGAGTGAAGTGAGCAATCCATGTGGATATATAAGGGAGGAGCGTTCCAGGTAGAGGGACAGCTAGAATGGAGCAAGCAAGGAATGATAGGGCATGAGGTCAGAGAGGTGATGGGAGTATGGCAGGGGATTGCTCCTGTAGGGCCTGATAGGCTTTTGGAAGGCCCTAGGATTTTACTATGAGTAAGCTGGGAACCATTGTAGGGTTTTGAGCAATGGAGTGCCATGTTCTGACTTGTGTTTTAAAGCATCACTCTAACTGCTGTATTGAGAATATATTTTGGCATGGCAAGATCAAAACAGAGAGCCAGTTAGAACGCTATTGCAATAAATTATCCAAATGAAAGATGATGATGACTTGAACTAGGTGTGACGATGGAGGTGGCAAGAAGTGATGGGATTCTGAATATATACTGATGGTGTCCAAAACCCCTCACCGTCGAGTTGATTTTGACTCATACCAACTTTATAGGACAGAGTAGAACTGCCCCCGTATGGTTTCCAAGGTAGTAAATCTTTACGGAAGCATTCTGCCACCTCTTTCTCCCACAGAGCACCTGGTGGGTTCGAACTGCTGACCTTTCGATTAGCAGCTGAGCGCTTTAACCATTGTAGCCAGCAGGAATTGCTGATAGATTAGCTCTGGGGTTGAAGAGAAGTTGGATACTGGGTCACCATGTTTGATATATATCCTTTTACCCTGTGACACTGTTATCTGTTTTGATGTTTTTTCTTCAGTTCATTTCTTAGTCCTAGTCTTCTTGACAAATCTTGAGCTTTCAGGTATCTCAGAATCAATATTTTTCTAAGTTTTTTTTCCTTGGTGACTCATTGTACGTACTCTGGGCTGTTCTTGATGCATCCAAGGGCAATACTGCCCTAAGCCCAGAGATCCCCATAAACTAGAATCTTTCTTTTGCCCAAAATGTTCTGTATTACAGAGCCACTTTCCTCCACAAGAGCCCTTCACTCTTGAGTTTCCTAGCTGATTCCAGTGACCCTTGCTGGCTCTCTTTGCAGCCCGGTGCATCTAATTAGGCAGCTCTCTTTCCCTTTTCCTAAGCCTCTGTCAACAATGTCTCTAGCTTGGTTTTTCTCCTTATTCCCTGTGGGCATATCTGACAGGTAGCCTCCTGTTCTCTCTGAGTGCAAATATCATATCTAAATTTTGCATTTACCTTATGATTATTCTTGTCCCAGCCAGACATGATCCACAAGAATTTAGAACAGGGTGTTTTTCATCACAGGCTGTATCTGACAACACTTTTTGTTTTGTTTTGTTTTTTTAAATGAATTTTGAAATAATACCTCTTGCCCAACAGAACCAGAGAAGCCTAAACAAAATGTCAAATGTGTGCTGTGTTCCCCATGCCTACCTCCTGCGCTGGGAACAGGAGGCAGCGAGGAGGAAATAATGACGACACCGAGCTTTGTGATGCCCAGTGGCTTTTCCATAATTACCTTTACCCCCTAACATTCTTCAAGGTCTCGTTTCTTTTTTCCAGTCCAGAGAATGTTATCAGAAGATCTTAGAAATAGACCCCAAGCTGCGGACACAGGTGAAAGGTGAGGATGTTCCTGCTGATATCGTTCATATGAATTTGAATCCTGCTGATATCCTTCATATAAATTTGATTTCCCCTTTGTGCTCCTGCCTTATGGCGCCAGCCATACCTTCTCTGCCCTTGGCCTCAAAGCAACATCCTTCTTGCCTTCCCTACATAATCAGACTCTGTGTGTTAACAGGCCTGCTGTGCTGCTCTTCCCTCTGCTCTCCCGCTCCAGCCTTTGCCTTCCTCCTCTACACCCTTCTCCCTTAGGGCCTTCTAGTCAGGCAATAGCCTTTTCCTTAAATCTTCAAGATAGTTTAAGACTCTGGGTATAGACTTTGCACTAATCCGTTATTGAATTATCTTAATGCTTTGTGCTTTCAACCTCCCATCCTCAAAAGGAAAAAAAAGAAAAGTTGCTTCTTGTTTGGTATTGTTGATCATTAGGGTTTTTTTGTTTTTGGTTTTTTGTTGTTGTTTTTCATTCTTGTTTTGCTAGATTGCCTAAATCAAGTAGATCTTCAGGAGAAAGCAGAACTTCAAGAGAAGGAAGCCCACGAATTGTTGAATTCAGGGAAGAACACAGCCGTGACCACCAAGAATCTCCTGGAGACCCTTTCCAAGCCTGATCAGATCCCTTTGTTCTACGCAGGCGGGATTGAGATCCTGACTGAAATGATGACAGAGTGTAAGCCAGCGATGCGTGTACTTTCATGAGTATTGTCCGTGCAAAGGGACAGGAGTACGAGGCAAAATATCCCTCCCTCTCATCCTTCCACAAATACTGATTGAAGATCTCCTATAATGTAGGTGCTAAGTGGGTGTGCTATAGGGTCACTATGAGTTAGAATTGACTGGATGGCAACAGGTTGTTTGTTTGTTTTTTTTAAGGGGGTGCACAAGAAATATACGCCCACCCTGGCTCCGTCCTCTCCCCAGAGCATGCATACTCTCAACAACATACACGCAACACACCACACCATACGCGTGTAGCACACACCACACATATGCAACACACACACACCACACCCTCACTCCCTGTATAACACCACACCCTCACTCCCTGTATACTTACACCACACACACACACACACACACCCCCCATACACTCATTCCATATATATTTATACCACACATATACACACACACAGCATGAACTCACACCATTATTTACTTATATTACATACACACACTGCACCACACACACAAACATGGCACACACTCACACCATACATGCTTATATCACATACCCACACACCCTTCACATACCCCCACACACCCCATAAAAATCCGCTGCCGTCGAGTCAATTCTGACTCAAAGCGACCCTATTGGACACAGTAGAACTGCCCCATAGGGTTTCTAAGGAGCACCTGGTGGATTCAAACTGCCAACCTTTTGGTTAGCAGCCTGAGCTCTTAACCACTGCACCACCAGGGCTCCCTCCACACACCCCATATATACCCCAAATATCCCATACCACCCCTAACATCTTCCCCCACCACAGGAATAGCAGACAGGGCCCAGCCCATTCAGAACATTGTAGGATAACATGTAAGGTTCACCCTAGTTACATACATTTAATGACTGTTTAGGATGTGAAAATAATTTCAGAGAAAACATCAGTTCTCCTCCTACTAAAGAGAGCCATGCTGTTCTCTTTTACCAGCTGTTATAAACATTGATACCAGGGCTTAAAACAATTTTGTTTCTCAGTGACAGAATGTTGTTTGTACAAATAGATGGGGTCTCTGACTTCCATTTAGTGTACAACGGAGGGTGCTCAAGTATCTCCTTCGGCAGTTTCTTAGAGATTATAGATTCCTCTCTAGAGCCTGGAGATAGCTTTGAAATAAATATTAAAGAGCAGATGGATATGGAAGCTCTTCCTGGAGGTTAAGCAGCTCCTGGTGTCTCTCTAAAGATTACAAAATGATGAGCTGTGCAAATAACCCATGGGGCCACCCCGGCTCAGCTCTCCTCTGAACAAGTATATACCCCTTACTGTGACACTGACTGGCTGATTCAGTACATTTATTTTTTCAGAATGTAAAGGTATTTGTTTCTGCCTAAACTGTTCATTTGGTGACCTTGACCTCCCATATTGGGTCTCTCATTATCAGCTGGCTGTGTTCCAGCTAGACACTAGCCAGACCATTCAGGAGCCTGACATGCTTGTCTGTGAATTTGTTTCAGGCACAGAACGAACTTTATTCAGAACACACAGTGGATTCAGTATCATCGGTGACAATGAGGTCATAAGAAGGTAGGGACATTTATAAAGGTAGCCCAAGTGCCAAAGCAAGGAAAGACAACCATTGCTTATGTACTCAGACACGAATCACATAGGCAGCAACTTTCCTAGATGGCCCCGTCCTTCAGTCAGGAGTGGTGGCCCCACGTGGAGCAGGAAGCTGCTCTATGGACACTTCTCGAGCCTTGGGCATTGGGAGTTTGAGTTCTGCAGTTAACATTGGGAAGAGAGGCAGAGGCGCTTCCCAGGGGACCTCCAAGCACATCACAGTCAGAGATGTGACCATTCTTGCTGATTTCCCACCAGTTTTTGCAGGATTGCTGTTTGTTCTTTTTCTCTTTTGCAATTTGCTGAGCATATCAGGAAATGGAATCAGCTGGGCCCTGACTGATCCCATTTATAATTTCATCTGAAGAAAGACCCAAATGGTAGGAGGTGGCTTAGTAAATTTATTTGTTATGTTATTTAGTATTTCACCTGTTCCGATGTAATTCCTGAGGCTTAGGACAGTGGTGTGGGTTGGAGTCACCAGCACACATTTGCATGAGTGGGGGGACACCAGGAAGGCTAAGTGGTCTGCTGGCCCAGTGACCAGCTCATTGGGCCCAGTGCAGCCATTGCCCGTGGTCCCAGGCCTACCACCCTATCTTCTTGCAGCCCTGATCATCTTGACCTGGAGCTCTTAGTTCAGTGCTTGGCAGTCCAACGACCCTGGTGACTTGTGATCTGGATTATCAAATTACTTTTTTAAACCTACATTTGGGAAGTCTGGGTACAAATGAAATAAAACCGAATGAAAAGGAAAGTCAAGGCTAATTTCCAGATTTAATATTGCTCTCTCTTCTCTACTCTAGGTGCTTTTCCACAGCAGGAAAAGATGCAGTCGAAGAGACTGTCTGTGTGTCTGTTCTCAAGCTCTGGCAAGCAGTGTGCAGTGGGAACGGTAAGTCTGAGTAATCACCATTAATTATCGTTAATGCACTGTTAAGGCGGCAGCCTGATTGTTCCCCCTGAAGGCCAGGCCCTGGAGAGTTGATGTCTAGACCTTCCCCTCACCCCTGAAAAAGTGTATGGATCAAAAGCAAGGGCTGCGTTGCAGTTATGTCTACAGCACCCTGACAGCTGCCTTCCTCACCTAGCTGGGGACTCTGGAAGGCTGCCCAGTGGACGGTGGCAAGGTCATTGTCAGCATAATGAGTGGTCTCCTCACCTGGCCACTCTCCCTGCTCTCTGCAGACTCCTGACTTCTGCTCATGCATGGGCAGTGCGGAGAGGGTGGACAGAATTTTTCCTCTCCTGTCTGTCTAAAAATATTGTCGCTTTTTGCTGACCACAGTACCCATTTTAGCATGAGATTTACAACCTCCCGGCTGGCATCTTCTGACACTGATTAGCGTGTAATATTGGGACAGTAAAAGGCCACAGGGGTTTATTTACTGTGTTAACTCTTAGTTTTTACATACTAGCATCTTCTGGGGTTCATTACCTTGTTGCCCAATCTTTCTTACCACTTTGATGACTTCAGCATAAATAATAAATTTAAGTATTTCCCCCATTTTTTAGAAAAATGTGTCTTCATAGGAAAAGGTCTGACTTTCAACACAAAACGCCAAAAATCAGAATAAGGTCGGCTGTGTCTCCTTTTCACCGTGCAATGGTGGGGGCCCAATGTGAGGGAGTTTGTGAACACAGTTTGTAATTGTAAAACGCCAAACAAATGTGAGATAATGCAATATTTTTCTTGATTTAGTAGAGGAATTGTTAAAAGTTTCATGGTCAAATCTGCAGCTTCAACAGTAGGAAAATCATCTTAAGTTCTAGAAAACTAGAAAATCAGAGGGCCTCTTTCTGGAAGGGAATTATGACCCAGAGCCCTGGTTATGCAGTGGTTAAGCACTCGGCTGCTAACCAAAGCATCGGCAGTTCAAACCCACCAACTGCTCCAAGGGAAAAAGATGTGGCAGTCTGCTTCCTTAAAGATTTACAGTCTTGGAAACCCTATGGTGAAGTTCTACTCTGTCCTATAGGGTCACTGTGAGTCGCAGTCAACCCAACAGCAATGGGAATATCATCATCAAGATGCCCCGTTGCCCCGTGTAGAAACCTGACCAGCTCAGGGCAGTGATTTTGGAAATCCCCCAACACGAGGGTAAAAATGGCAGGGCTGGGCGACGGTGTGTTTATTCAGGATGAATCTGACACAGCAACCCATTTACTTTGGTTTCTGCGAACCCGGGGGTCATATTTTTTCTTTTAACATCTGAAAAAATATTGTCATATTGTCACACGCAGCCTGTGATTGTAAATGCTTTATCTCCAATCAATGAAATCTTGGTACATCCAACTCCATAAACACAAAGCAGTTTTTATAAAGGATCAGTGATGTTTAAAAGTAGGGACATGGAAATATGTCTGATACATTACTGAGTGAGGGTAAAAAGCCAATTACAGGGTAGGATGTATAATGTTTTTAACATTATTCATGTGAAGGATGACTGACGGCTTCATGGGGAATGGGCTGACCTGGAGGGAATACAGGGAAGAGGACTTCCATTTTCAGTTTTATAGCACTTCTGTGTTATGTGAATTGTTTACAATGAGCTACTTTTCCCGTATAAGAAAAAAATGTACAAACACACACTTTTCCTTTTCAAAAATCAATAGCGTATATTTGACATTGTTGTTCATTGCCGTCGAGCTGGCTCCAACTCATGGTGACTCCATGTACAACAGAGCGAAATGTTGCCTGGTCCTATGCAGTCTTCACAGTCATTCATATGCTTGAGTCCGTTGTTACAGCCACTGTGGGTTTTGAGAGCCTTCCAACCCAGGGGGGCTCATCTTCCAGCACTCTATCAGACAGTGTTCTGTTGTGATCCATAGGGTTTTCATTGACTAATTTTTCGAAGTAGACCACCAGGCCTTTTTTCCTTGTCTCTCAGTCCAGAAGTTCCACTGAAACCTGTCCACTATGGGTGACCCTATTGGTATTTGAAATACTGATGGCATAGCTTCCAGCATTGCAGCAACATGCAAGCTACCACAGTACAACAAACTGACAGACAGGTGGCAGGTATTTGACACAGACAGAGTAATCATAGCTAAAAGGAGCCCTGGTGGCACAGTGGTTAAAGTGCTCAGCTACTAACTGAAAGTTCCATGTTTGAACCCACCAATTGCTCCATAGGAGAAAGATGCAGCAGTCTGCTTCCATAAAGATTTACAGGCTTAGAGACCCCATGTGGCAGTTCTACTCTGTCCTGTAGGGTCACTATGAGTCAGAATCAACTTGATGGCAATGGGTTTGGTTTGGTTTGGTAATCATAGATAAACTGTAGGATTTAGATATAATGTTAGCAATAAAAACACAGTTTAATATGTGGGCTACCAGTCAGATCTCATTGCAATACCATTACCCTGGCTCTTTCAGGTCCTAGAAGGGCCCTGGTGTGTGTCTTTCACCTGACTGCTGTGCGCTGTGTGTAAATGGGCAATTACTGCAATAGAGGGGAGATCTGGAGTAAGGAAGCCCAGGTGATGGGTCCCATCCCTGTGTGATCCAGTTTTCTCTGCTCTGTTTCATACCTTTGCCTCATCCTCCAGCGTATACCCTGCTCTCAAACGTTCCTGTATCTGGTCAGAAAATGAACCAAGTGCAGGGGGGGATAGCCAGTGTCCACCCAAACCCAAACCCACTGCCAATGAGTTGATTCTGACTCTTAGCGACCCCATAGGGTTTCCAAGGCTGTAAATCTCTACAGAAGCAGGCTGCCACAACTTTCTCTCACGGTGCCGCTGGTGGTTTCGAACCACTGACCTTTCGGTTAGTGGTCGAGCACTTTAACCACTGCGCCACCAGGGCTCCTTAATCCAATGCCACTACCCTGGAAATAGCTTACAGTCTAGGAAGGAGGGCATGATTTATTGATTAATATTTCCATGTGATATTCTAGTTTTCTAGAAAGAACTTGAATGTTTGCTTTGGCCATATGAAGATTCATGGTCTAAAGATCTGCAGTTAAGCTTATTTCTTTCCCTTTCCTCGCATTTCCAGGTACCACAAACCAAAAAACCTTCTGGCAACAATAATGATGATGGTTCAGTTACGTGTGCCAGTCCCTGTTCTAAACATGACCATGTATCATCTCATTTAATCCTCATAGCAATTCTGTTAACTAGTTGCTCTCAAGTCATCTCCAACTCATGGTGACCCCATGTGCATCATCAGAGTAGAACTGTGCTCCATAGGGTTTTCAATGGTTAATTTTTCAGAAGTAGATAGCCAGGCTTTTCTTCCACTGTACCTCTGGGTAGACTAGAACCTCCAACATTTCAGTTAGCAGCTGAGTGCATTAACCATTTGTACCACCCAGGGACTCCAAAGAATTCTATTAGGTAGGGCTTTATTCTTATTTTACTGATGAGGAAACTGAGGAACAGAGTGGATAGTAACTTGGCTAAGGATATTCACCTAGTATTTCACATCCAGCTGTCTGGTTCTAGAATCCATGCTCTTACTACTTTATCATCTTGCCTCTCAAGTGAGTGGAGAAGAAATGGGCCCCCTGTTGGGATGGAGGGGAATAGAACTGGCTTGATTGCTATCATAGTCTTAAGTGTGCACAAGGCTGACAGCCACTGTGTTTTGCAGAGGAAAACCAGCGCCTGCTGGTGACACGCCCCAACATGGGCGAGCTGCTGCCCTCCCTCTTGGACTCCAGAGTCATGGCCATCCGGCAGCAGAGCCTGGCCCTGCTGCTGCAGATCGGCCAGACCGAGAATGGACGGAGCCTGATCCTCAGCCACCTTGACCTGACCCGGTAAGGCCCTGCTGGCAGGACCTTGCTTACGGTATCTCAGACCACCACCTGACAAGTTAAGACTTGCCTGTTGTCCTTCTCATACCTCTGATGTGTGAGGTGCCATCACACTTTATTAAGGGTCAATAAAAGAGTCTTTGAAAGGAGCACTTCTTCACAGGACAAACACCTGTCTGAACTTAGTACTATGAACAGTTTCACTTCCTCTGAGCAGTTGGCTTGTTTCCATCTCACAGATACTATGGACAGTATAGATAGCAGTACTTCCATAGCCAGATTTGGAACCCACACTCAAACCAAGTCATTTGCTTCTGCCCTTTTAGCCTCAGTCCTGGGAGTACCGTGTTCCTGTCTTTATTTTTCTTCTTTCATTCCTGTTTGAGGTAACACTTATCTTGTCTTGCATGTCCTTAAACCCCTTCTGGAACAAGGTGGAGTGTCAATAAATAAATCATGTCTCAAATACTATTACAATTAGGGCTTTCCCTGGCTGAAGGCAATAGGAATAGAATTGCCTCTTTCCTAAGTAGACTTGATAAAAAAATGACTGAAACACAGTGATTCTGCTCCGTGCTTTTCTATCTAAAGATTATTAGTTTGAACAGATGAAATGGTCATTTTTTAGATCAAAAAGGCTGAATATCAGCAATTTCATGTGGTTCAACCCAATAGAAACAGTAGCAATGATTATAGCTGGCTTTATAAATGTTCCATACATAATCTAAAAACAGGAGTTAACCTTTTGATTCTTTTCACTATTATTTCATTCTATCTCCCTTCATCCTATGGGGTGGACAAGGTAGGTGTTATTACCCCATTTCACAGATGGTGAAGGAGCAAGTAACTAAGGTAGTCTCACCTAGCTGTCTCCAACTCTTATTCTCTATTCCCAGTAAGAGAAAGAGCCAAAACTAAAGCCCTGTCAGATCTTACTCGGACCAAGCTGAGACCTTCCCCACCTTGCCCATCTAGGTGAAGGAGTCCGCAGGGTTGTTGTTCAGCCTGGCGTGGCTCTCCCGGTCTCAGCTGGCTCCGTCGCACTTCAGGGGCTCACAGCAAAGGCCTTCCCAGCGTCCTGAAACTCAGCCATCTGGGCAGATGGATTGTTAACAGAGTTAAATTCTCCAAAAGCATGTTTCAAATTTCAAATGGTTCTGCAGTCACACTTCATCATATGTTTTTCATTTGTTTTTTGCCTCTTTGAGTAAATGTAGCTGTCGTCATCATAAGCTTTCTCCCCCAGCTATCTTTGAATTGCTTGAGTTTCCATTTGAATTTTTCCACTGTCTTGGAGAGTGGTGCTTATGATCACCTTGTGCAGTCCTGCACACTCTCTTTAGACAGTCAAAGAAACGTCAACGTATTGCCTTTATGCCCTCTATTCTCATTAATGTCCATCTCCAGTTAAACCAGAAGGAGATGTAATGGGCTATCGGTAGTGAAGTGAGATGGTTTGAAGCAGGATAGGGCTGCACACAGGTCCCGTGGCTCACAGAGGCACACAATATTACAACCCTCCAAAACGTTTGCCCTCATATGAGAAGTTAAAGGGATGAATTTGAACTAACAGGGACTGAGTGAGCACCAGTGTTGCTTTGTGGAAAGTGCTGGGTTTTTGGATTCAGGCAGTCCTGAGCTCAAATCTTTGCATCTCGTTCTACTTATGTGACCCAGGAAAGTTACTTAACCTTGCTGAGCCCCAGTTTCTCACGGACTTACGATGGAAGATTAAGGGAGGTGAAGTATGTGATATTTTTCTGCTGCCTTTTACAGAATACCTGACCAAGAGAAGCTTAAGCAAAATAGAGATTGGCTTGTTTTTCTCACATAGCAAAAAAGATGAAAGATGGGAGCTGCTGCCGTTGTTCAGTAGCCTAGAGACGTCAGGGTTAGGGCCTCTCTCCCTCTCTTGACCTTCCCCTCATGGTTACATTAGGCTGCTGCAACTCCAAGCATCACATCTCCATCTAAGACAGACAAGCACCAGCGAAGTCTGTCCGTTTTACCAAGAAAAGCTACTGCTTATTCCTCTTTTGGTCCAGCTTCTGTGGCAGAGTCAGGCATGATAGGAGGAGGTGGGAATGTCTGTAGGGTGAGCCAGCAGACAGTGTCTGACAGAGTAATGAAAGCAACTGGTATCGTGGGTATGGTCTATACTCAATAATCATTTGTGTAATCATTTTCTCTCTCCAGAGTATTATGTTCAGGGTCCTAAGCAGAGGTGATACTGCATTTATCAGTTACACTAGACCATTTTCTGACCTGTGGCCCACCCAGAGGGACAGCTCCTTGTCAGCAGAGCCTAAAATCTGTCACCAAAAACAAACAAAAAAAAAAAAGATAAGAAGGAGCAGAAAGGGACACGTTGTCCTCTTTAGGTAATGAGTCCAGTTAGGATGTGTGTTTTGTCACATGGTGAGGAAGCCTAGTTGCTTATGTCTCCCAGGACAAAACACCAAGATGATCTTAGACGGCTGTCTCATCTTCAGTGCTAGTCAGGTTCATTAGCATTCATCCTCCAGACTGAGGAAAACAGATTTCAACTGGTGAAGGAGGAATCTGAAGTAACTGTAAAACAAATTATTTCTGACAGCAGGAACATTGAAATACGCTCCTGAGGAAGTTAGGGACTTGTAGAAGCTTAGAGTTATCTGGGACCTTAGAAACAATCCAGTCCAGCCCCCACTGAGTTCAGTCATCCCCTCGGTGGCATCCCAGTACAGCCTGGGCATGACTTCCTCCAGGGAAGATTCCAGCGTTTTTGTTATATTTTTCTCCATGTAATTTGGGAGGGGCACTAAAATAGCTAATAGACTTGGGGTCTTTCCCCAGCTAATGAGAAGATGCGACTCACCTCCTGTCTTAGGCTGGGTTCTCTAGAGAAACAAAACCAGTAAAGCATATAAATATATAGAGAGAGTGTTTTATATCAAGGAAACAGCTTACATGATTGTAGAGGCTGGAACGTCCCAAGTCTGTGGATCAGAATAGAGGCTTCTCTCAAGTCATGTAGCCACAGGGGCTGGTGAACTCAAGGTAGGCAGGTCAGAGAGCAGGGCTCGCTCACAGGCTGTGAAGATCAACGAATCCCAAGCTTGGCAGGCAAGACCACAAGGCTTCTCCTGATTCACATAGCTACAGGGGCTGGCAACCCCAAGATTAGCAGATTGGAGAGCAGGGCTCCTGCTCACAGGCTGTGAAAACTGATGAATCCCAAGATCAGCAGATAAGCTGATAGCGCAAGTCCTAAGAAGGGGACGTCAGATGAACAGGAGGCGGCCACAGGATCCAGAGTGAGCAAAAAGCCAGGACATCTGCTTATATTTGGATGCAGACCACACCCCCAAGGAAACTCCCTTTCAACTGAATGGCTACTCACAGCAGATTCCATCATGGGAGTGATCACATATAAACACTGAGAATCATGGTCCAGCCAAGTTGACACACAGTCTTAACCATCACACCTCCCAAGGCAGCCCACCTCATTCTGGGACTGTTCTGGTTGATATAAAATTATCTCCTTACGCTGAGCTCAAATCTGCCTGCCCCATACAATTTGGGGCCAATGCTGTCTCCCTACATTAAGGACCCGGTTCTGTCCTCTGAAGCACTACAGAATTCATCAAACCTTCTCACTTTCCAGTTTCTGAAACGTGTATCTAAAGACACCAGTCTTTTCCAGGTAAACATCCCAGTTCTCTCCACCATTCCTGAGGTAATTTGGCTTCCAGAACCCTCCTAGAAGGGAAGGCTATAGAAATCCAATACCATGGATGGAGCTGGCTGGTGTAGGGCCCATACTTCCAAATGCCAGACCCAATGGACTCTTCAGACATTCTCTTGACTGCCTTATGGCATTTGGTTTTATTGATCTCTACACTTTTCTTGAAACTCCACAACATCATCTTTTTCTTGGCCCTCTTCCTACCTCCTGGGCTTTTCTTTCTTGGTTACATTTGTGAGCCCCCCTTATGCTGTCACAACTTACAAGTCAGGAGCACCAGGGTCCGGCCTTTGGCCGCCTTCTCGTCCATGGCTTTAACTACCACTGATAAGCTTCTATCTCTGAACACTAAATGAAAACACCCTTCTGCAAGTGGACATCTCCATCTCAATGTCCACAAGTATCATAAACTTAAAAATTCCAAAAGTAGTTCTTCAAACCAGACCCTCTACCTGAATTTCCTGTCCTCATAGATGGCATTTCCATCCTTCCAGTTAACTAAGTTAGAATCCTAAGGTTACCTTAGATCCCTCCTGTCTTAGTCATCTAGTGCTGCTATAACAGAAATACCACAAGTGGGTGGCTTTAAGAAACAGAAATTTATTTTCTCACAGTTTAGGGGGCTAGAACTCCCAATTCAGGGCGCCAGCTCTAGTGGAAGGCTTTTTCTCTTTGTCAGCTCTAGAGGAAGGGCCGTGTCTCTTCTGAGCTTCTGTTCCTGGACAATCTTCATGTGGCTGGACATCTCTCTTCCTTCATCTCTGCTTGCTAGCTTGCTTATTTTAATCTCTTTTATATCTCAAAAGAGATGGACTCAAGACATACTCTACACTAATCCTGCCTCATTAACATAACAAAGACAGCCCATTCCCAAATGGAATTATAACCACAGGCATAGAGGTTAGGATGTACAACACATTTTCGGGGGACACAGTTCAATTCATAGCACTTCCGTTCCCACATCCGTAAGAAGAGCCTATATTGTCAGTTCTACAGCCTCAGCATCTTCTGGATTCACTTCTTTCTGGTTCTCCTCCACCATCTCTAATCATTCCTTATAGGTCTTTGCGAGTGCCTCTTTTTCATTGATTTTACCTCTTATTCTGCCACTGCCTCAGTTCAGTCCCTTAACCTTGAGTACCTGAACCATCACAGCTCTCCCCTGGCTGGATACCCTATCCTCTGTGCTCCCTGCTCCAAGCCAGCCTCCACCATACCACCAGAGTAGTTTTTCTGAAATGCACATACACCCTGTTATTTTCCTACTTGAAATGCTTACCTAACTTTCCATCACCCATAACAATAGTTCCCCAACCACTGAGAAATATAGTGCCTAGGAGTCACCCAGGGACTTTGTCAAAATGCAGGCTTCTAGAGTCTCTTCCACTCAGAAACTGAGAGGGACCAGCAATCTGCATCCCCCATGGAAAGCAAGTCATCTGCCAACCACACTTTGAAAACACAGGCCTACAGGGTAAAGCACAAACATTCCAGCAGGCCATGGAAAGTCCGCCATGATCTGGACTTTGTCCAGCTTTCTGGCCACGCTGCTTCCTGTCCCCCTTACAAGCCCACAGCACTAACTATAAGGAACTACTAACAGGTCCGCAAATGTGCCCCTGCCATTTTATACCTCACACTCCTTGTGACTGCTGTGTGCTGCAAATGCTCTGCTTCCTGTCCCCATGTGCCTGACGCTGGCCTATGAGCTCCTAGGAGCAGGGACATTGTCTTGTTTTGAATCTGTGGCCCCAGAACCTACCACATTGCCTGGCACATAGTACGTGCTCATTAAATGTTGTTGAATGCAGAAGGGAACAAATAGCCAACACTACACTTTCAAGAGACAACTCAAATATCATCAGCTCTTTGAAGCCTTCCTTCGTCTCTGCCCTCCCCCCAAGCCCCCAGGTAGATTTTGTGGCCCATTTAACATGCATCTGTTCTATCATAGCACCTAACACCATTTATCTTCCTTGGGAGAACGGGAGTACAGTGCTGCATCGTAATACTGAGCACAATGTTTGTTGAATGAATAAATTACTCTTATCTCCATTGTTCTGCTGACAGTCTGATAGGGCAGCCTGAGATTGCGTTAGCTTTCCTTGGCTGCCACACCAGACTGTTTGCTCATACTGTGTTCACAGTTGGCCAAAAGCCTTGAAATCTTTTTTCATATGAACCAGGTTATAAGCCAGGTCTCCCTATTCTGTTACTGATACAGAATTTCCAGTTCTTAAGTGGAGGACTTTGAGTTTAACCCTATAAAATTGCATCTGACTTATTAAGCAGCCTGTCAAAATCTTTTTAAATCTGTATTCCATCTTCCACTTGTTAGGGGGCCTCCCAGCATTAGTCATCAGTAGATGAGTAAGCATGCCTTTTAGATGCCATCTAGGTTATTGATCAGGACCAGGCTGAGCCAGAGTCACGTGGCAGAGGCATCAGAAGGTCCTTCCAAGTTGGTGTCTGATAATCAAGAAACTTTGGTTGGAACAACCCAAACGTCCATCACCTGATGAATGGATAAACAAAATGTGGTATATCTAGACAATAGAATATTATGTAGCCATAAAAAGAAATGAAGTACTGATACATACTACAACATGGATGAACCTTGAAAACATTATGCTGAGGGAGGGAAGCCAGACACAGAAGGCCACGTATTGTATGATTCCATATATATGAACTGTCCAGAACAGGCAAATCTGTACAGACATAAAGTAGATTAGTGGTTGCCAGGGGCAGGATGAGGGAGGAATGGAGAGTAACTTCTTAACGGGTACAGGGATTTTTTAGGGGAGGGTAATGAAAAGGTTCTGTACACAGTGGTGATGGTTGCACCACACAGTGAATATACTTAATGCCACTGAACAGTACACTATAAAATGGTTAAAACGGTAAATTATATGTTACATGTATTTTACCACATTAAAAAAGAAGGAGAAATTTGGTTAAAACTGCCCAACCCTCTGGGAATTCACATTAAGTGGTGGATTCATTCAAATAGGAGAGTGTCCTCTCTCGTTGGGGTAGGCTGGGCCTCCTAGAAGGGCAAGACAAGACCATCCTTTGAGCTTATTTCACCCTGATGCTGACTCCTTCCTGGTTTCCTTCAAGGTCACCTTGTTGGGAATGCTGTCAGTTTGAGGACAGCCTACTCAGAGCTTGTTATGGGTTTTTACAGATTGTTGGAGGCCCTGGTGTCATTTCTTGATTTCCCAGATAAGAAGACCAGCACTGCCATGGGACTGCTCACAGACTTGGCTCTGGAAGAAAGGTAATTTTTATTCCCAGAATGTGGCATTTCTTCTTACACCTTTGTTCAACTGTCTGATCCTCATAAATGAGCAGTGTACAGGGAAGCTAGGCAAAGTTTCAGACTTAGCACCACACATTCACTAGTAGCAGGGCTGATGCCTTCCAGGGGTCCCCTATAGTCACCCACTCCAAATCCAGTCCCTCTGAACATGGGTGACATGATCCTCAACATATTTAAAACAGTACCTCTCATAGTAGCCCGTTGACCAAGTGTCCAAGAAGGTTCTTCCTTCCCTTAATTGGTGCCTGGTACATAATAACTGCTTAGCAAAAGTTTGTTGAAGGAATGTGAGTGAGTGAGAGAAGGGAGGGAGGGAGAGAGGGAGGGAGGGAGGGAGTGAAGAAGGGAGGGAGAGAGAGAGTGAGGGAGTGAGGAACAGAGGGAGGGAGTGAGGGAGTGAGAGAGTGAGGGAGGGAGTGAAGGAAGAAGGGAGAGAGGGAGTGGGGGGGAATGAGGGAGGGAGGGAATGAGGGAGTGAGCAAAGGAGTCAGGGAGTGAGGAACAGAGTGAGGGAGTGAGGGAAGGAGTGAGGGAGGGAGTTAAGGAGAGAGTGATGGAGGGAGGGAGTAGGGAGTGAGTGAGGGAGAGTGAGGGAGAGAGGGAGGGAGTGAGGGAGGGAAAGAGGGAGTGAGGGAGAGAGTGAGGGAGGGAAAGAGGGAGTGAGAGAATAAGGGAGTGAGTGAGTGAGGCGGTGAGTGAGGGAGTGAGTGAGGGAGTGATTAAGGGAGTCAGGGAGTCAGAGATGGAGGGAGAGAGAATGAACAGTAAAATGTAGCCTCCTCTTTGGTTGCCAGTGGCATTATTGGTAACCCCTCTTATGTTTTTGCTTAGTTGCTGGGGAAGACAGTAAAGGTCTTAGATTCCGTATAATTCTTTAAAAATCAGGTGATTTTTTTTCTCAAAACACATCTTGATTTTCTTAGTTCCTCACAAACTTTAGGGTGTCCTGTTTAAAAATGACCTGTAATGAGAGAAAGCCGCTCAGGCTCACAGGCAAGCCCACCAGCTGGCACAGGTGGGAATATGTAATAGCTGTTGTCTCGTGTGGAGCTGTGAGTGCATCTGGACCCTCCTCAGGGCTGTGACGAGGAAACACGCTCACACTGTATTTGCTGTTTGCACTCACACAGCATATAGACTCTGAGCAAGAAGAGAGGGTGGTAAGTCAGTTTGGCAGAAGCCTAAGAATTCTGGCAACTTCTGCTTAAGAGAGCTGCCATCTGAGCTGCATTGTTTAACATCAAAGGCAATTCTCCAGACTTGGAAAAATTAAAACCACATTACATAACTAGTGACATTTTTTTTGGTTCAGAATGAGTCATCCATGTACGCTGTAAATCACATGGGGCCAGAGATTGTAACTGTCTGCTGCGTTACCCAAGACGCTGTATTCACGTTATGGTTTGCACGATATACAGGTAAATCGCGGCTGATGTTTTCTCCACAGGTTCCAAGTCTGGCTCCAGGCCAACCTTCCAGGAGTTCTCCCTACATTCATAGGTGTTCTGGTAAGCAAGCCCTCATTTCTGTCATCTGTGACAGACACACTCCCAGGAGCATGAGCAGAGCTGTTTAAACAAAATTTACACTCCAAAACTCCTATTGTCTCGCAGGCTTGCAGGTTGATTCATCATTTATTCACAGCTGGACTTTACACAATCCTCAGTTATTAAAACAACCGCAGTCAGGACAGGTGAAGGTGGCATATGGAGGTGGCTGGTTACAGGGTAGAAAAAGCTAGATGTGCAATGCATCTTAGAAAAAGGAGGGGAGGGTTTGTCAGTCTCCATGGGTCTCCTGCTGACACTAAGTCCCATCATAAGTACCACATGCAACCCTGTCCCATGAATGGAAATCATCCTTGTCTGGATGACAAGGGTGGCAATCTGAGCTGATAAGGCAGAAGAATAGTAAGGGGGAGGAATTTCTCCTAGGAGAGCGTACTGTGGCTGGGGTCTGTCCCCAGCAAGCCATAGAAATTTCAGGGGACCTTAGAGAGCATATTCATACCCCAATATTTCACAGATGTGGAGATGAAGGCTCTGAGAAGGGAAGGTTGGTGGAGGAGCTAGGGTTAAGCCCGAGGCCTCCTGATTTCCAGGCCAAGGCACTTTTGCATCTACCCCACTGTGTGCCTTCATCCTATTGCCAATGAGACCCCATCAGTGCCCCATGATGTTACATGAAGGGTGTTTGGGTGAGTGAGGGACACCAATGATGGCATCTGAAGATTTACTTTCTCTTGATTCACTCTTAGAAGAGAGATCCCAAGATCACCAACCCCTCAGCTCTTTGCCAGTGTATTGCTATCATGGGAAACCTTAGCGCTGATGCTACCACCCGAAGACAGATGGCTGACTGTGAAGAATTTGGGGACGCCTGCTTGGGCCTCATGGTATTTTAGCTTTTCTATTCCAAGTAGGCCTTTTACCCTCTTTGGGGACATTTGCTTCTTCTTAATTATCTGGCTTTTCCAAAAAGGCTATTTCTGAGGGAGCTGGAGCAAGTGACTTATCTCTTTTATGACTAGAGATTATATGGGCTGAGCCCTGGACATTGAGTCTCATTTACCTTGGAGAGGTTTGAAGGATTTTCTGGTAACCTTGGCTTAATCACCCATATTAGCAACTCACTATTCAGTTTAAACACATCTTCTTCTGCACTGACTCAAGGAACTGGTCTTGGGTCTTCCAATACCACTTGGGCTCATGACATTGACAGTTTAGGGAGTGTCGGTGGTATTGAGACCTTTGTCAAAGGGAAGAGTTGCCCATGAAAAGCAGCAAAGCATAAAGGTCATTGATTACCTGTTTTGTTTCCCAAGGCCAAGTGTGAGAAGGATATGGACCTGTTCAGAGAGGTCATGTATACATTCCTGGGTCTCTTGATGAACTTGTGTCTGCACTCCCCCTTTGTCTCTGAGGTACAGTGTTCTTTTCTCCCTACCTGGGACCCTGGGGCAACCTAAACACATTATGTTGCATAGAACTGTTCTTATTTTTACAAAGAGAATAGAAGAATGTGTACTCCAGCACTGGCAGTGGGAATGGGGAAAGACACATGTATGGTCTACAGTGTTGCTGTGCTGAGGGGTAGATGAGTCATCCAGTCATCTGTTCATTCAGAAACACTAACCAAAGGTCCAGGATATGCTGAGCATAGCACTAGGTACTGGATTTACAAAGTCAGCCAAATGTGGTTTCTGTTCTCAAAGTTTTACCATGTATTTAGGGAAGACAGACGTGGGAAGAAGTAAGAGCAATAATAGAAGGTGTTGTGAACTATAGACAGAATATGGTAGTGGTAAAAAGGAAGGTGTGGTCAGTTCTATTTGAAAGCTGAGAGAAGCTCCATGGAGAATTCAGGATACCAGGGAATTAAATCTCCTCTCCCCTCCACTTTGTAGGCTTGGGCCATGGAGGTGAGCAGAAGGTGCATGGCACTACTGAACAGCCAGGATGGAGGAATCTTAACAGTAAGCTTCTCCCAGAGAAAACCAGAAATGACTTCCATTGGTCTCATCTTTGTTTGTTTGTTTTTTTTTTGAATATCAGTGGGTCTTAACTTTTTTGAGGTCACCACACCTTTGAGAATCAGCCAATTCTCTTAGGTACGGTGTAGACATACTCTGCAGAACAATGCCCATGGCACATACACACCAAATTTTGCCTACTGTTTCTGGGGCTCTGATGACCCCCAAATGCCCCATCCGTGGACACATTAAGTCAAGGAATGCAAGTTAAGGATCTCTGTTCTCTGTGGTCTGGAATTAACCAGCTTATACAGTGTAGTCTATTGGCTTTATCCTATTTCAGAATATTCCTGTGGAAATTGGATATGCTGAGTGATTTTATTTGGAATCCCTAGTCAAAAAGGCCTGGCCCATATTTTGAAGCCCACGATCCTAGAGGTTGTTTATGCATAATGGTTTTAACCCCTGTTATGGATCGAATTGTGTCCCCCAAAAATGTGTGCCAACTTGGCTAGGCCATGATTCCCAGTATTGTGTGATTGTCCACCATTCTGTC